TGAACTCATCCCACACCAGGCAGAGGGAAAGACAATCTCATGGCAAACAGCTGGAGCCCACCACTGCAGGCTGGGAGTCTCATGCCAGGCCTGCCTGCCCCAGCAAAGGGGCCCTGGGGTTGACACAGCCCGTGCCAAGCCAGATGGGCAGCAGCCAACTTTCCAGTCAATCCAGATGCCTGTCTTTCTCAGATGAAAACTCAACAATGTGGCCCCAGTCAAAATGGCTTGAGAGAGCTGTGTGCTCTCCAGACCCTGGCGGGGGACGGCAGGGGCTGAGCAGGGACCTCTGATAAGTTCCACGGGGTCATGACAACGTGATTCAGTCCAAGTTCTGGAGATCAGCTGGCTCTGTTGCACAGTCAGAAGGAGAAGGGAGCGAAGTGAGGACTAGTTTAGATGGAATCTTGGAGCCATCTCTCTGAGGAACAGGGCTCTGTGGAATTTTTCTGGAAGCAAAGGGATCTGTCTGTGCCACGTAACTTCAGGTCAATTGAGACTTCATTTTCCATGTCAGAAATAGCAACTCTGCAGGGCCCCCTTCTGAGATCCCAGCCTGAAACATCAGAAGTCAAAAGGTGGTTGACTGGCAGCCATGGCATCGCCTGCCTCCTGGGCTCTTGGTTTTGAAGTCCCATCATGATCTCCTCCTGGACAGCATCTCTAGGGATGACAATCCCCTTCTTTCCCTAAGAAGCACAATCCTATTTTACCAGAAGAGACATAAAGGCTCAGTGAGGGAAAGCCACTAGGGCCAAGAATGTTCTAGAACCTGAAAGTGTTGCCTGTGCTGCAAGCTACCTCCTCAAGCCCCTCCCCAACAGATTCCCCTGACTGTTTCTTGCACAGTAGCTTGCCTGTCATGCCTACTTAAAAGCTCCCTTGCTCTCCACTTTTGACCCGATCCCAAGTTCAGGCATGAAGCTGGATGTCTGGCAACCTGTCAATGCAAACAAGTCTCTCTCTCTCTCTCTCTCTCTCTCTCTCTCTCTCTCTCTCTTTCTCTCTCTCTCTCCACACTCACACCTCTTGCTCCTTCTCTATACAATGCCCAGCTGCACTTCAATGTGTTTTAAAATGTTTATGCTGCCCTGGTCTTTGTTATTTCTTGTTTGGTGTGCTGGAATGCCTGACATTCCAGGATCTGCACCCTGGTGCCCAGCTTCCTGAGACATCCTGGGCACAGTGAGGGGAGGGCACCACCCGGGACAGGGAGCAGAGGAGAGCGAGAGTTGAGCCCTGGACACATGTGGGAGGGTGGCGGCTGGTGTTCTGCACCTACGCGTGATGTGCAGGCATCTGACCTGTGGAGTTCTAGTGCTCTATCTGTCAGTACTGGCTTTAAGTCCAGCCTAGACACACAGTAAGCCTGTTAAGATAGAGGATGTAAGGTCAGTGCAGAGGGCAGGCAGGCAGCCCCAGAAGTATAGCCTCTGTCCTTCTGTCCTATTCCCCAGATCCCAATCCTCTCACTGAGGGTCTTGTGCTCCCCAACACCCAGATAACTGGTGTGAGGAATTGTCCCTGTGCCTGTCAATCCCCACAGGACCAGGCCTGGACCTATCTGACATTAGTTATCTGTGGCTATGCATGTCCACACCCCTGATGGGCTCCCATGTCTTGGACAGGAGAAGGTGATCTAGTGGCTTAGAGGGGTGGCAAGATTCACAGGACCCTAGGGCCCCAAGTGCTGTTACCCTATCCACAGGGCTGCATCTCAGCAGCTCTGGCTCATATTTGGAAGCCAGATCTCAAACACCTCAGGTCCTGAAGACATAGACAGAGGAAAGTTCCAAGAAGGTATAGCTCTTGCTGTGAGGAAGGAGGGATGTAAAAACTAGAAATGAAGCAGGATTCTGGGGAATGGGGTGGCACCCCTTCCCAGAACCGCATTTATCAGCCAAGCCATCCCTCTACTATATACAGATCATTAGCAGAAAGTAACTCTCCTCTATCGTCTCTCAAACACCACGGCCACTTCAGAGCTCCAGACAAGAAGGCAATTCTAAGACAGCCACTCCTGCATTGTCATATGGATAAAACCTCACTGTTCTTCCCAGCACAGCCAGCTGCCTCCCAGGCCAGGGCTGATGGACAGGTGGTCCCTGGTTAGGCCAGTACCTTGGTCAGCAGCAGTGGGTACCAGATGACCCTTGGAGGGCAGATGGTAGAGAGAACCCACCCACTTGTATGAATGAACCAGCTCCTGGGAACAAGAATCTACCCAGACCAGGGGTGAGGAGCCCTGATCCTAACTAGCCTCTGATTTGTCTGCCTTCCCACAGGAGAGCCGGAGCTGGACAGGGACCACCCAGCAGGATTCACAGTGTTGTTGCTTGTGCAATGTCCTCTGTTTAACTCTCCTCCACCAGTCTGACTGATTGTGATGTTAGGATTGTTGAAAATGGCTTCCATTGCCGTATCTCCCTCTAGGGGCATGGTCTTCAGCTGCCTCAAATACAAACACATGGTTCATCCCTTGTTCAGTGTCTTCAACATCATCAACAGCCGTGAGGCCAACATAAAAGAGATAGGAGAGGTGTAGCCTGATGGAGTCCTGGAGACAGAACCAGAGTTAAAGGTTCTGATTGCTGGATGACTGAAGGAAGAGCTGATTTGTGACTGCTATGAGACAAGGTCTGTAGGACAATTGAATAAAACAGAAGCTTCTTGCATTCGTGGTGCTAGATTAAACCTGAACTTTCAATTGTTGACAGTGCTTTCTGAACTAATTGAGAAATTATGTCTTGTTGTTAATCTGACTTGGGATGGCGAGACTAAACCTGAACTTCCACTGTGTTCCAACCTATTTCCTTACTAAACTCCACAACTGTGAGTAAGTAACACCTCTGAGTTAATTTGCAACACACATCAGACCCAGTGATTAGCAGAAGTAGTTGAAGGAGTGCACAGGTGGGAGCTACATCCAACTTTATAGCTATTTGTTACTGAGGATGTTATTGATAAGAACAGTTCTCCTTTGTAGAATTAATTGTGGTCAGACTTGGACATCCCCACACTGCCATTGTTCTTGTTCCTTATACACTAACTCACTTCTAATTATTTAGGATGCCACTTTCCTAAGAAGTTATCCAATCCACTGACTTGGGTGAAAATCTCCTTTTCCATGGTGTACAGATGTGCAGGTTGTGCACTGCACAAAAGCAACACAGCAAAGTGAATCATTGGCAGCCTACACTTACATATTTATATAGAATTTTCTTTAAAAATTAGCATATTTCCCTAATTTGCACAAAGGTGTCATGGAGTCTTGTGATGACCTCATTCCCTGCCTGTGATGTGCAGCATTTGGCACTTATTCAGGCACTGCACAAGTCCTCCGCATGGACGATGCCCACTAGCTGTCTAGCCCCTCCCTCCACCAGAACATAAACGTGAGAGGAGGAGAAACTGCTTCTCCTTCACCCTCCACTGTCTGTCCAGGCCTGCAAATCATGGGCACTTAAGATGGGTGTGTGGTCAATGTCAATATTTGTTGATTGAATGGAATGTGGGTCTCGGAAGTCTCAAGAGTTGGGCTGGCAGGAAGGCAGAAGAAAAACCAACCAGAAAGGTGGTAGGATCAGCCCTAGCCTACAAGGTGCAAAACTAAGTTCAATGTCCTCTCTACTGGGTCTATCCCCTTCCTGAAGGATATAGAATAGAATAGAACAAAACAGAATAGAATAAATAATAAAGATGATGACTATAATAATAAAAATAATAGCTACTGGTCATCAACTTATGAGCATGGTAAAGCCCATGTATTATCTCATTTCTTGTCATATCAACCCTAGAACACTGACACTACTATTGTGTCCATTTGACAGATAAGGAGAAAAAACAAGGCAGATAGAAGTCAGGGCACAGCTGGGACTAGCAACTGCTATGTATTAGATGCTCAACCCTGTTTGACCAAAATATATCACACTATGAAACCACCTACACTCACTTTTAGCTTAGAAAGTATGGTCACTGTTCCAAGACTGAGAAGGCATCTGGGACCAGCCCTGCCTCTCCTATCTTTGGGATCTGGTCCAGGCCCCCCATGAGCCCTCTATGGGGAGCCTCTTTGACTCAGCAGGTTGGCTGATGACAGATAGAGTACAGGCCAAGGATGGCCCAGGAATGGGGCCTAGAGGGGCAGGTGGGCTGAGTGGGTAGAGGCCTCAGCTAGATGAACTACATGAAGCACTGGCCCCCTCCCAACAGCAGGGTCAAAGCCTTAGAGAGCAGGATGAGTAGGCATTTCACTCACTCCTAACCCCACTGTGTACAGTAGGCACATAGGAGGCTCTCGCTGAGGATTTTCTGAATGCTTCCACCATCTAAAAGAGGGCAGGGAGCTGGCTCTCTCATACCCTAAGGGTATTCTCTTGAAGTCTAGTGGTAAGAAGCTACACTTCAACCACAAAGGTGTGTGGTTCGAATCCACCAGATGCTCCATGGGGGAAGGATGGCCAACCTCCTCTCATGTGATTTATTGCCTCTGAAAACCTGCTGAGTCAGCTATGAGTTGGTTCTAACTTGACGGCATACAACAAGGACATTCTGAGGGAGACACAGAGGATGACGAAGTTCAGCCTACAGCGAGGAGAAGCTGGTGCCCTTCCAAAAGGAAGAGGAGACAGGAAACACTAAGTCACCACCACTCTGAACCCTGGTGCCCTGGTGAGGGGGGATGTGTGGGGTGAGGGCTGGCAGGGTACCCACACAAGATGGGATCACTACCATCTGATCCAGAACAACTGGCAAGAGAGGAGCCCTCACAGACAGTGGGATGGAGTAGGCAGGCTAGGCTGCCCTGGCAGAGTGGATGAACCGCCATCCAGTCAAGAGCCCCAAATATCAGCCAGAAGCACCCTCAGGCAGTTCTGGAAAGCTGGCTCAGATAAGCAGCCTCTTCTACCTGCCCAGTGGGGGAACCATCAAGGGTGAGCAGGCCAGCGCCTGGGAAAACTTTTCCCACAGCCCTCGATCTCTTGGCACCCAGCACTCACCTGGTCTGGGTGGGCACGGGGCACACGACGTCACCCCCCAGAAGGCTCCCACGCTGCCACAACAATCCTCTTGGGCTGTCAGCTCCAGCAGGGGGTTGTCACACTGGGGGGGAAAAGGCCATGGGCATTGGTGACCCCTTCCTTCCCTGCTGTGCCTGCTCCAGGAAAACCTGGGGCACAGGGCTCATGCCTCGTGGTCTCCTAGAGATGGTTCCCACCCAAAGGAGGGGAGAAGAGGGACAGAAGTGATCGGCTGGGCATCAGAGAAACCTGGGGTCCACACAACCATGAAGACTTCAGTGACTCAGGGGTCCCACAGCCTAGACATGAGACCTGCCCGATGCTGCATTACAGATCATCACTCTTATCTCTGGACCACAGAGAGAGAGAGTCCCAAGGCCATGCTTTCCTCCATCAAATCCCAGGCATCCCGGGGAGGCTGCCCGCTCCCTCCTCCTGTCCCCTGACCTCAGGTCATACTGAAAAAGCATGGGAACCAACTCTGGCCTGCTCTCGCCCTTATTCTTAAATGTCTGGACCCCTCAAACCACTCTGGTTTTTCATCACTGCCTGTGGGTACCTCCAGTGTAGTAAGAGTGGTCTATCATCTTTATAGCCCTAGGTTTCTGGGTTCAACCTGAGTTTGCCTACTGCACATCTTTGTGACTTCAGTCTCCTCCTCCAGCACAGCCTCACTATGGTGTGCAACTGGTCTTGGGCTCAGCTCAGAGCACACAGGATTTCCAGGGACCAGATTCAAGGCTGCCATCCGGGGAGGACATTCTAAGACCCCTTCTGTGTTCCTGGCAATGACAGGTGCCACGGAGCCCAGGTAGAGGGTCTAGCCTCTGCACCCTCAGGTAACTTGATGCCGTGGGCTTTTCCCTCTGGGGCATGGGACACTCAGCAGCACATAGAGAGCATCAGGAAGAGGAGGAGGGGAGGGCAGAGTGGGTGCTGTCTTTGGAAGCTTCCCGGGCTAATGAAGGAGCCTCATTCTCACCTGTCCGTTCACCTTGCTCAGGTAACAACGGCCGAGCAGTCCTCGAGGCCTGGGCACTGCAGCAGGCAGTGGCTGAAGGGGTTCTCCAGAGCGGGTGGGGATGCTGTTGCTGTCCCAGTGGTTGTGGCCAGCATTGGAGGGGCGCTGGCCCGAGGGTCTGGTCTCCACGCTGTTCTCCTCCTGGGCCTCCTCAGCCTCGCCCCGCACACGGGCCACCTGGTGGATCTGCACAGAGGCCTCAGGCGGGTGGCGGATGTGCACCTTCACCAAGGAGGGGTTCACCGAGGCTGGGCAGAGGGGCTAGGGTCAGAGTTGGGGACACAGGACCCCACCCTCACAGTCCCTCTGCAGGAAGAGTACCCACCAGCCCTGGGTCAGGTTGGTCACTGCCTGGGGGTCTCCCTAAGACTCCCCTTTGTGTTTCTTCACTTACTGCTCAGAACCCAGAACCCACTTTTCAGTGAGGACGGCATGATGCACAAAGCCCTTCACTCCTTGCTCCTCAATGAACGACCTTCAGCATCAAGCCCCACACGAACACTCAGTACAACCTCTGAGAGTAGCCAATCTGACCCCTGTGTGACCCAAGCGGAGTCACAAGCGATGGTATCACCCACGAGGTAGCTAATGGTGTCACCTGTCTCCCCACCTCCTTCTGTACCAGAAAGACTGTGCAAAATCCTTAACAAAGCTCAATATCAACTTCAGTCACAGAATAATATGTGATAAGTATCTATAAAAGGCTTAATGTAGTATCTTTTAGTTTAGATGGCCACTAAGAAATTGGTAAAATCTTTCTGCATTGAAATACATTATTAATTACATTATTAGTAACTGAACAGAAGCAGGTTTGGGTGTTGTGGTTTTTTTTTTCTTTTTCTCCTTTTCCTTTAATTTCTATTTCTTTCTTTTTAAAAAAAGTTAGTGATAGTGGTTCAAATACTAATTACTATATTATGGCTAAAACACTAGAAATTTTAACCAAATCAGTGACTATAAACACAGAGCAGCAATGAAACCACAACAACAGCACTCTGCAAATAGAAACAATGTGGTTCAAAGCATCATTCATCTCCATTGGGTATTAATGACAGCTCTGCCAGGAGCCCATTAGAAGTTTCAAAAATAAACTAGCATAGAATTTTAGCCTTACAGTTACAGGATAGCTCATGAAAAAGGTTTTTGTTGTTATAACTAAAAAAAACCTACTCACTGTTATAGAATCAGAACCAACTCATAGTGGATCCGCCAGTGAGATTTTCAATGGCTGTAAATCACACGGGAGGAGGTTATCCATCTCTCTCCTCTACAGCAGCTGATGGATTCCAACCACTGTCTTTTGGTTGACAGAGCAACACTTTATTCAGTAGGCCACTAGAGTTTCCTGTTGTAACTACCTGCTGTTGTTGGTATCATCAGATGTTATAACTACAGGGGGTTTTAAAAATATAAGGAATTTCTGCTAAAACACTACACCAAAATTTATTAGAGCAAGCCAGGCCTGCCTCACTCTTTTCTGCTTAACAAAAAATCATTGATTATTTGAGACCCCGATGAAGTCCACCTTCCCATGACTCGCAGAACATTGTTAGGTTTTAATCCCCTTTCTCTGACACCTACTAATGGAAGTGAACTCTGGTGGCTTAGTGGTAAGGTGTTGCACTGCCAATCCACAGGTACAGAGTTTGAATCCACCAGCTGCTCTACAGGAGAAAGATGGGCAATCTCTTCCTGTGCAATTTGCTGTCTCAGAAAACAGCTATGTGTTGTTCCTATTTGACAGCACTTAACAGCAGTAATGGAAGGCCGGGGGAAATGAACTAATTGCTTTATGTTTATGTTCTAAAGTTGAACAGGACAGCAAGTAATAAAGGCTGAAGAGGATGTGGAGAGATAGGTACTCTTACACATTGTTGGTGGCATTGTACAATGGTACAACCACCCTTTAAGGCAGTTTGACGCTTCCTCAAAAAGCTGAACATAGAAATTCCATATGGCCCAGCTATTCCATTGCTTGGAATAGACCTCAAGAAAATGATAACTGAGGCACAAATGGAGACTTGTACACCAATGTAAATAGCAGCACTATTCACCATCACAAGAATATGGAAACAGCCCAGATGTCCAACCACAATTTAAAGGATTGAGAAATTAAATTATATTCACACAATAGACTACTACACAGAATGGAGGAGCAACGATTTTGTAAATTAGTACCTAATTTGGGAGGAACTGGAGAGCATTATGCTGAGTGAAATAACTCAGTCCCATGAGGACAAATACTGCATAAAACCATTACTGTAGCATGAGTATGAGGATCCAAGTGGGTAGAGAGTGGAAGCAGAGGGTAAGGATGTGCAGGGGTAGGGGAGGATTAATCACGGGGAAATGGGAAGGGTCTGGCATGAAAAAGTCCTGAATGTGGAAAGGGGAGGGGTTAGGATGGTAGACAAGACGAGGTCTCCCTGTCTCCCTCCGTTAGGATGCCAGCCCTGGGTGAGCACTCACCGAGCTGGTTAGAGAGAGGCAAGGTGAAGGTCGACTGCTTCAGGGGGGCTTCCAACAGGAAGGCCTCTGGAGGCTTCTTGTTCAGCTGCGGGGCAGGCAGGTGGCAGAACTTCCCGGTGGAGTTGGTGGGGCACCAGCACACATCCCTGCCGATGCAGCGGCCTCCGTTCAGGCAGGGGATCTGGCAGAAATCTACAACACCAACCCTCAAAGTGACCGGTGGTGGAAGAACCTAGCAGCACCCACCATATGGCTGGTACATGAGAAGCAGAGGGAGCAGGACCCCAAATCAAGCTGGGAGACCAGGTACCCCGGAACAATTATGTAATATCTCTCTGATTTTTTTCCTTCTGTTATTCTTGGCCTTGAATGATTGGGCCAAGAATAACAAAAGAAAATAAAAGCCAGCCCTTGACTTTCTTAAAATGCCCATTCACATCCTGTTCCATCCACAATCACGTGGGAGACAGGGGAGAGAGCAGGTGACATTATTGTTAACTCCCTCACTTCTCTATTGAGGAAAGGTGGGCTCAGAGAGGCTGTGTGCTTTGTCTAGGGTCACACAGCTGGAGCTTGCCAGAGCACCGTGAAGACTCAGCCCTCCACGTAATTTGGGACAGCTCCTGGGAACAGAGTTAAGAGCAGTAGGCTTCCTGCTTACAGAGAGCGAGGCTCTAGCCCAAGGCACTCACAGATGCGGAAGCCAGAGTTGGGGTCATGCTCCTGGCCAGCCTGGCTGTACAGGGTGGTGGTGTTGCCTCTCTCACAGCTGTTGGCACAGTGCCCTCGGGCACAGGTCTGCTTGCAGATGGTGGGCGTGAAGACTATCTTGATCTTCTTGATTTTCTCCGTGAGGTTCAGCCCTGCAGAGAGAGGGCTTGGGTCCAGGGGGCAGGACTGAGAGGCACAGCTGTGACCACTAGAACCAGGTTACATAGGCCCACAAGACTCGGGTGAAGCCTCGCATGCAAAGCCTAATGGAGAGTAAGCTCATAGTCTAACAATTACTGAGTGACACCCATGGACCGACCAGTCATTGAACTTTTTCTGCTTTAAGTTACCTCTCAACCCACTTGCATAGGTATTACTCTAGGTTGAACCATGAGAATGCAACACTTTCCCCAAGTTCCATCTATAGTTCCATTTTATAGCTATGGAAAGTGAGGCTTACAGAAGTCTAGTGGTTTGCCCCAAAGTCACATAGCTAGCAAGTGCTGCAGCTGGGTTTTAAGGTAAAAAGCAGGGAACACAGTGGAGTTCAGATTTGCCAGAGGGGAGTGTTCTTGAGGAAAGATTATTTGAGTCAAGTTTGAGGGCACTGACTGCCAAAATGAGGTTCAGACTCCTTACTTGATGGGCAGTGGGGAAACCACTGAAAAATATTGTCAGCAAGCGACCAAAGAGGAAGTGCAGGAGAATGAATTCCCATGCAGCTGTAGTGTGTGGGGTGGAACGGGAGGCAGGGTGACCAGTTGGAGGTCATTACCATGGTGCAAACTGAGGTCACTTCATTTAGAAATGGTGTTGACGGTGGAAATACAAAGGAGGAACATTGATTCAATACGGGGGAGCCAAGGGCAGGAAGCCAGAAGGCAGAGCACTGAGGAGAGAATGGGAGGTGAGGAAGTGGGAGAAGTACTTGACCTTGTGTACAAAAAGTCTGAATTGTGATGGGAGGAGAGGGAGAGGAAGTCAGAGGGAAGGAGTGTAGTTATGGCCTGGAGTTCTAGAGGCAATAAGAAATATGAGGGGATGTACATAAACAGGGAGAAGGACACCTCCCTTTCAAGATTTTGAGAAAGGACATCAGCTGGAGCACGGATTTAGGTGAGAGTGTAGTACGGGAGGGGGGAATGGGCAAGGAAGCAGGGAGGTGAGAGGCACACGTATGTGCTGATAGGAAGGAGGAACAGTGGAGTGGAGGTGTTCTGAGGAAGGGCAGGGTGTCGGGCACTTGAAGAAAAGCTGTTGGGAGATACCAGAGGCACAGATGCAGCTGGGAGACCAAGAATCCGCCTGGGCCTGGATCCACACAGATGTTTCCTGTGGGAAGTGGAGGCCCAGGTGTAGGTGCTAAGCAAGCATCTGTGTAGGTTGATGCAGGAGGATTTGCAGAAAGGATGAGAACCAGGGCCCAGGAGTTGAAGCTGATGTAACAGAAGCAAAGTCAGGAGAAGCGGCAGCTTGGATGGATGGAAGTGGAGGAGTCAAAGTGAAACAATCTCAACAAGGTGAAGTCTAGATAAGGTTGGGCTTATTTTTTGTTTAGTTTCATTTTCAGTTTCTGGAACCTGGTGTAAAGCAAGTGCTCACAACTGTTTGTTGATAGGGTAAAGAATGAGAAAGAAGATGAGTCTGGAGAGACACACCAAGACAGGAGGACATCCTTACCCCAAGGGGTTGAGAGGTGGCCCACATATGCTGCCTGGTGGGTGCCATGCCTCTGGTCAGGGCCTGCTCCTGCAGGCAGGACATTGGAAGTCAGCTGGCTGCTGGCAGCGGCGGTTGGATAACGCCGAACAGTCCGGGAGAGCCCCACCTGCTGCTGGACATGTCGAGTCTGGCTGAGCCCACTCAGGGTCCTGTGGAGAGAAAAGAATCGCAAGGGCTTGTATCCAGGAAGCAACCTGTTCATCCATCTTTATCACCTCATCCACCTCCTGTATTTGCACTGGAAGAGTACACTCTGCTTGGCCACCAGCTCCAGGACACCAGATGCCCTAAAGCAAGATACTGATCTGAAGGTCAGCCAGCTGTTTCTGAAGATGTGTTGGCCCCTCTGTGGATTAGCTGCGTTTCTGCTGGGTTGTCCTGGGAAAGTCATTTACCCTCACTGGCCTTCAGGTGTAAATAAAAAAAATGTTTGACTGTTCCTGTTTAGCTCTGAGTTTATAGCTTTGAGTTCCTACATATGGACCAACCCTTGCACTCACCCTGAGTCACAGGTCTTCTTCAATGAGAGCACAGATTTCTTATGCCATACTTTTTAATGTAACTTTGCATACAATTACCTATGGATTTGGTCCCAGCAAATGAACATTTGCATACTAATTCAAAATACAGTCCCAAATCTCCTTCTTACTAACTTTATTGTAAAAATAATACAGTAACAGCATTCAAGAAGAAAAATGCCTAATTTCTCACATCCCACCCCAATATAACACATAATCTTGCATACTTCCTTTCAGCCTCTGCTCACATATGGTTTTGCATGATTGTCATCACTTACTCAACTTAAATTTGGGTTTTCACTTAACATTAGCTCTTTTTATATAATTCCACATTTTCATATTTATTATCTTAATTGCTTTCTGATAGTCCCATGGACCACCAAGAAAACAAGTAAGTCTGTCTTGGAGAGGGTGAAACCAAGTTTCTCTTTGGAGGCTAAGATTTAGAAGTTCCATTTCACATACTTCAGGCACGTGGCCAGGAGAGACCGATCCTAGAAGAAGGACATCATGCTTGGAAGGGTGGATGGACAGCATAGGACAGGAAGACCCCGGATGAGATGGATTGACACAGTAACTAGGGCAAGGAGAGGAGGTGTGTCAGAGTCAGTGAGACTGGCTCAGGGCAGGGCAAGGTTCAGAGCTGTTGTACACAGGGTCGCTACGAGCCGCAGGTGACTTGACAACACATAACAAAAGCAACAACAAAGTCTATCAGACATGAATCACAACTTTTCCCAGACATTCTCCTGCTACTCTTCTTAATTTTTAATCTATGGCTACCCTTGTCCATAGGAATTTTTTTTGTGAAAATACTGATTTATATTCATGATACTATTTTACTTCTTCATTACATTATTAGGTAATTACTGAGTTACTACACTATTCTGTTTTATTCCACATGTCTTAAATTTTCATAATCCATTTTTAAAACTTTTATAGCCTAAGAAAACTTTTGAAAAATATTACAATTTTAGAACTAATCTGTGAACAGAATGACTGTATCAAAAGTTGTAAACATTTATGACTCTTGTTGTATCCCATTGAGTCAGAACCAACCCAAAGCTGACCCTCAAGTGGATTTCCAGAAGTAGTAAATTGCCTAGGAAGAGACTGTCCATCCTTCCTCTGCAGAGCAGCTGGTAGATTTGAACTGTGTACCTTTGGGTTGGCAGTATTGTGGTTATCGACGCCACCAAGTCAGCCGTGACTCATGGTGACCCCCAGGCACAATACAGTCTGCTTGATCTTGTGCTATTCCCATGATCTTCTGCGCATTTGCTTTCTAAAATGATTACACCAAAAATGTGTAAATTCATTACCTAGAGCGCCAATTTTACCAGGATGAAGTGTGACTAATTGTTTGTTTGTTTGTTTGGAATTTTATTGGTCTGCATGTAATCATTCATATACTTTGCATTTTGTCCCTGTACTTGGTGTTTTATACAACCATTCATACACATCAGGTTTCATTCCTGTACCTTGTGTTTTGCACACTCATTCATACGCATTATAGCCTGTATCTTCAGTAACCATTGCTCTTGGAGAGGGACATCATGCATGGAAAGGTAGAGGGACAGCGAAGGAGAGGAAGATCCTTACCCAGATGGACTGACACAGTGATTGCTGCAGTGAGCTTGAGTGTGGCAGAGACTGTGAAGACCGCACAGGACAGAGTGAGGACAGTTTCAAATGTGAGGTTCATGGGGTCACTATGAGTCATACTTGACCCCATGGCACCTAACAATAACAACAACATGACTACCATCACCCCATCTTTTCAAATCCCCACTGAACATTTCCCAGTCCTTCAACTTTCCCTCCACCCACCAGTCTCTGCTATCTCAGTGCTTTTTCTCTTTCCACCTTTCCTCCTTCTCCCCTTGCCCTTTTGAATATGTGTATCTTGCTCAGTTATCCTTCTGGTAAAATTGGTGTCTTTCACCCATTGCTAAGTGAATAAGTATGAAATGGTCCTTCAATGCTGTTTTTATGTCCCTTTCTTCAAATACTTCTGAGGTTTAACACTTTTTCATATGTCTATTCAACACTGAAGAAAACGTTCTACTCCCCTCCTTTGCCTTCTTAATCGTTTGAGTCGTTTGTTTCATAAATTTGAACACATTCTCTATGTGTTTATTTTTATCTTACCATTAGATAAGACAGACTCTACTGGAAATAATTTGTCATTGTCGTAACGCACATAGACAACTGTAGGCATTACAGTCTCTGGAGCTGTGTGAACATGCTGTGGGAATTGAAGCTGGATTGTACTTTCCAGATTTATACAACAAGTAAATCATGGTCCTGCGATTCCAACTCCCGAGCAGCCTGACCACAAAAGTTGTGGTCATTCAAAGAGCCAAGCCAAGCTATGGTGGCAGCTCATCTGTAGAGGCCTCTGTGCAAGCCAAGGGCACTTTTTCCCTGAGCCATTACTAGCTCCCCCGTCAGAAGCCTTGCCCAAGTCAGAAGTCTCCCTCCCCAACTCCAGTGATCTTGGCTTGGAGTACTCCCCCCCCCCAAAAAAAAAGAGTTGTAAATTGCAGAATGTCCACCTTTCTCTCTCAGAGCTGCTAATGAATTAGAACCACCAGAGAAGATCCACTTTGGGTTAGCAACACAATTCCTTACAACTAGGTCACCTGGTCCCTTTAGGTATTCAGGCCATGACAAAGTTGTGTCCCTGCAGAAGGAAAACCCGGAGGGATGCCAGAGCTTGGCCACCTACCCACCTCTACATTCTCTGGCATCCCCTAGTTCTTCCCCAATTTCCCTTGCCCCAAGCTCGGCTCCCATGAACTTCAATGCATCTCTTCCTTCCAGTTCTACCAGCAGCAAATACTCACCCTGACAAGCCCCAAACATAATTTACTTTGCTTCCTGAGTTTGGACACTAGAGTGGGAGAAAGAAGTCTTGTTAGCAAATCTAGAAACTGTAGGAGTTGTAATGGGCCAGAGTGGGGAGTCCAAACTCTAAGCATCTGGTTCCCATTACCCAAGAGAAAGCCAGGACAACTATAAAAGAAAATCTTTCCCATAACACCTAAGAAAGACAGTGCCAGGGTAGATGGGTGGGCAGAAACCTCCTGGTGGTACCACGCTGGAGTCCCAACTCAGGTTAGTATCACCATCCAAAATGCCTTAGAGAGAGGACGGTCACCCCAGGTTCTGACCAGCACCACTTCACTTTATTTTTTAATTATTTATTTGACCCTGTCACAGAGCTCTTCAATCTGGCCAGGATGAAAACAAAGGGTTCTTTCTTGATAGTTTGCTGTACTTGTTGTTGTTGTTACTGGCATTTGTTTCTCTTAGTGGAATGCAATGGGTAATGGCACCAAGATTCCTGAGTTCAAATCCCTTAAGGGCCACTGGTTAGCTTTGCACTACGGGGATGGGAGTGGTGGAGCCCATGCATTCACTAGCTGGAGATTAATGTGGTTTTGTGCAAGTAATTTTGCTCCCCTGAGCCTCAGATTCCTCACTAGTAAAATGGGAATAACAATACTGACCTCACTGTGCGACTACAAAGACTAAGGAAAAACAGGGAGATCAAATGAAGCATAAACACTCAAATACTGTCAATTTAAAAGAGATTATTTTGCAAATACAAGTAAATGGTCACAAGTTGGAAAGTGTGCCAGAATTTTAAAATCACATGGAAAAAAGGGCATGGGCAAAATCTCTCTCCTCAAGCCAAATAAGAAAACGTAGTTAGATCACTAAAACTTTTTTTTTTCCATTTAAGGAAGTGTCTTATTTACTGAGACACCACAAATTGATGACTTTAACAAACAAAAAAGTATTCTGTTGAAGTTCATTGTTGTTGCTGCTCTTGTTATGTGTTGTCATGTGGACAACAACTCATAACAACTCTATAAAAAACAGATCTAGATTTTGTCCTATTCTTCACCATCCTCCCTATTTTTGTCATGCCCACTATGGCAGTCACCATGTCAATCCATTTCAGAGAGTGTCTTCTCTTTCTCTGACCCTCTAACCTTCCTAGCATGATGTCTCGTTCAAGGGCTGGTTCCTCTTGAGAATATGGCCAAAGTAAGTGAAATGAAGTTTTACCGTCCTTGCCTCTAAGAAGCGCTCTGGTTGCTCTTCCTTCAAGACAGGTATGTTTGTTCTTTTGACAGTCCATGGGATATTCAGTATGCTTCTGTAAGCCACAAGTCAAAGGCAGCAATTCTTTTTCAGTCTTCTTTATTCATTGTGCAACTTTCACAACCATAAGAAGTAATGAAAAATACCAAGGCTTGGATCAGTTGCACCTTAGCCTTTAAACTAATATCCTTGCTCTTTAATACTTTGAATAGATCCTTACAACAGAATTCCCTAATGCAACATCTTTTGATTTCTTGACTGTTGCTACCAAGGATTTCTATTATGAATCCCAGTAAAATTAAAACACAACTTCGATCAATCTGTATGCTGAGCAAATAATTTAAGAAGCTGGATTATATTAAGAAGAATATGCCATCACGTTGGAAGAAGACTTACCAACAACCTGCATTATTCAGATGATACGACTTTGCTCACCCAAAATGGAGATTTAAAGTACTAACTGTAGAGAT